TTAATTAGTTGGCTTTTCTAATATAAATTCTTCAACTAATTAAGGCGTATTGATGACTAACATTATGTTTGGTTAGAGAATTGGAGAGGAGATTTAAAAAAAAAAAAAAAAAAAAAAAAAAGAGAAAATGTGTGTGAAATTAGGTCAAATGTATGATATTTTATTCATATTTCACTTTCCATTTCCCTTTCCATTTCCCTTTCAGTCATCCTCTGATCAACTGCTGATATGTAGCTTGGGCATTTTTTATATTAACATCAACAGTTAGAGGAAGGGAACGTACATGTACGTCTTAATAAGTGAATTTATTGTGTAATAGGTCTTATGATAATTAATGATATTTTTCGTCAAACACTATTAAAAAATATCACTAATTGTTAATTTTCAATGACAATTTGAAAATTTTGTCACAAAAAAATCACTAATTATAAATTTTAACGATAGTTTAAAAAAATCTCACAAAAAAAGTCACTAATTTTCAACTTTCATCGACAATTTGAAAAATTCGTCACATAAAAATGTCATTAATTGTTGATAATCGTGACAAAAAAAAATCACTAATTGTCAATTTTTGGTAACATATCTCGTCTTCTTGATTTGATAATATCTCATATAAGATAATTTCAAAGAAAAACTAAAATTGTTTCATAAACACCAACTTTCTTGAGTGTAATTTGTAACAATTAAAATCATTAACATATTAATTTTTTTTTTCTTTTTTCTTTTTATTAGCAATGAAATTATATTAATTCAATGGAACTCACATGGTAAAATTCAAAGTATATAGTAAGGAAAAACACCGATAAATTCCAAGTTTAGATAGTTTGAACTATATAGTCCTGCAATTTATTTTGTAGACTGAAAGGTCCCAAGTCAATGTTATTTACACTTAAGCCTACGAATGTAATACGTGAGTTGGCTGTTGAGGGGGTAAATTGGGTGTTTAGGTGATGTTGTAGTCACCAAAACACCCAAATGCATACTATAGTAATTTTTTCCTTTTCCCTCCATTGCGAACAAAACGGAAGCTCAAAAATTGAAACTTCAACGTTTCCTTGTAGATGTTGCAGTGTTGATCCTCATTTTGTGTGACTTGGATGCTGGATTTGGCGACATTGCACCTAGCATTCTTTATTCCTCAAATAACATTACAGAACCCCTTCAAAACCCTAGAAAAACCAAAAACCCCTTCTAGCAAATTTACAAAGGTAAAGTGGCGTAGGCACGGAGACATCTAGAAGTGCGATTACCATTGTCGATGTAACAACCCGAAAATTTAAGTTGTCCCTTAAATTTTATACTAGTGTTATGATTGTATGTGATAATATATTATTAAATAAATAATAATAACAATAATAATATTGATAACAATAATAATGGGTGTGGTAGTAAAATAAATAATTAATTTACTATTGATATACGATAAAATGTAATTTAATTTGAAATTAATTTATTTATATAGTAATATTAAAAAACTAGGTCAAAATGTAATTATCTTAAACATTTATTAAGATAAGAATGAATCTGTGATCAAATCTAAGAGGGATTTGAACTGCCACGTTGGATTCAGAGGCTTTCACCTCCCTATAAATAGGGAGGAGGTGATCTGGTTGCAAAAGAAAAGGAAAAGAATGAAGGAAAAAAGAGAGAAATGAAGGAATGAGGGAAAATGAGAGGAAGAAAATGAAGAAAAAAATAATGAAAGCTAAGAAGGTCTTTGATAGTAGAAAGAAAGAGTGAGATATTAAAGTTAATGTGAGTTATATTATACCTTGAGTTACCATAATATATTTTACTTATGTTTTAACTTACCATAATTTATTTTATACAAGTTATGTTTTATAAATTATTATAAGTTATATTAATATTCCAATTACGTGGATTATTTTCTGAACCCTATTTGCTTAAAATGAAACTCATGGATATGTTTGTTTAACTTTTAATGATTATTTGACTATGACCTTATATACAATTATGTTTTGTAAGTATCACCATGGGAGTCCCACACCTTGGGGAACTTAAATAACCATTGGCATCTGTTTAGTCACTTTGTGGCCCTCTATTGTCATGGATCTATTGACCTCTGTTCTGTGCGGAGCAAAGTGCTGTGTGGAGATAAGTGCTACACTATTGTGGGAGCCACCACTATAATCCGTTCGAGCCACCTCTTGAATCTGTACCTCCGTATTGTTATGAATCCATTAACCTCTGTTCTGTGCAGAGCAAAGTGCTGTGCGGAGATAAGTGCTACACTATTGTGGGAGCCACCACTATAATCCGAACGAGCCACCTCTTGAATCCGTACCTCTGTTCTGACTGTCACTCCTGTCCCACAGCTATTAAATTACAATTTTGCCCCTTTACTTAATTTTTGAAAAATAAAAAGTTAGGGACAAATTTGTCATTTTAACTTTAAACATCATTTCAACACATTTTCCAATACAACAACTCAAATAAAAATTCATCTCATCTTCCCAAACACAAAAATTAAAATAGCCTACTAAAATAGCCAAATAGCCAAAAAGCTTTAAAAATAACCACTTCCCAAACAAAGCCATAGAGAGAGAGAGAGATGTCCTATAATTTTGTCTATTCAAAATGCTGCCTATTTGTATAAAGCTCTAATACATACACTTACATATATATAAACATATGTTATTCAACATCAACAACAACAATAAGAAAAAATCTGTATAGGTGTGAAATAAACAACAAGTATAGAGGTGTTTTACTTTGGTTGTTTGTGCAACATTATGACATCAAGTGAAGCGGCGTAGACACTGGGACATCTAGGAGTGCGATTAACGTTGTTGACGTAATCAATTCGTCGACGGCAGTGTTAATCGTGTATTGGTGCGATGACAACATGTATGAGTGTCTTCGATGTTACTTTGGTTGTTTGTGGAACAATACGACATCAAGGTCCTTGCTCGAAATGAAATGTTGTTTATATGGTGCGTAATGTGGGGTTTTAGGTGATGTTGTTAACATCGCGGTTTTGGGAGTTACAAATGACAGCAAATATGATGTTGTGTATGTACGTAATGTGACAGACGCATGGTGTTTTAGTTAAAATTTGTATGATTGGTTGGGTCTCGTATAATGTTATTATTTTCGCGGGTGTAGGGGTTACCAGTGATTGCAAATGTGATGTTGTGTATATATATAATGTAACTGACACATTGTTTTTATTTATTAATGTTGTTATGATTGTTTGGATCTCTTGCAATGTTAGTATTGTTGAGGGCTAGTAAGAGGATAACATCAATAATGTAACACCAAGTAGGTAACATTAATAATCACCACAATCACTCCACGAAATCTCTAAAAAAATGGAAATGTTAAACCATACATTACCCACATACACCCAAATCCCAAAAAAAAATCAAAACCAAATCTCAAATAAGGGCAAATAAGTAAACTCTAATATTATTAAATCAAATCAATAATACAAACCACAAATAAAAATGACTAAATGGTGCGTAATGTGGGGTTTTAGGTGATGTTGTTAACATCGCGGTTTTGGGAGCTACAAATGACAGCCAATGTGATGTTGTGCATGTACGTAATGTGACAGACGCATGGTGTTTTAGTTAAAATTTGTATGATTGGTTGGGTCTCGTATAATGTTATTATTTTCGCGGGTGTAGGGGTTACCAGTGATTGCAAATGTGATGTTGTGTATATATATAATGTAACTGACACATTGTTTTTATTTATTAATGTTGTTATGATTGTTTGGATCTCTTGCAATGTTAGTATTGTTGAGGGCTAGTAAGAGGATAACATCAATAATGTAACACCAAGTAAGTAACATTAATAATCACCACAATCACTCCACGAAATCTCTAAAAAAATGGAAATTTTAAACCATACATTACCCACATACACCCAAATCCCAAAAAAAATCAAAACCAAATCTCAAATAAGGGCAAATAAGTAAACTCTAATATTATTAAATCAAATCAATAATACAAACCACAAATAAAAAAGACTAATTGGTTTGTAAAAAAATATGTAAGACTAAATGAACTAACATTTTCCCAAATGAGATTTATGAGTAATTTTTCCTAGATAGTATTAGTATTTTTATTCAATCAAACAATTCGAAATACAATAGTCACTACAAAAAATTAAGGTTTTAGAAATTAAAATTTATGGACAAAATTATTTTTTAGGGACCAAATATTTTTATTGCAAAAAGTGTCGTCATTATATTTTTAGCAACGAAACTTGGACATTAGTGATGAATTATTATCTTTTTGGGACCAAATTTTTTGTCTCAAAAAATAAACCATTTTAAGACCAAATTATTTTGTCCCTAAAAGTGTATTTATTAGTGACATTTTCAAAATTTTGTCGCTAAAAGCCTTATTTTTTACTTTTCGGGATAACCTTTTACCGACTATCCTCATGATGACAAAAATTGGTCCTTAAATGTTTTTTGCAATAAAATTTGAGTGGTGCTACATGCACCAATTAGTATATTAATTAATGTACCAACACTAGTTATGACATTCTTATTGACCCTACTCATTATACAAATTACAAATACCAAAAACATCTTAAATTATGTCACATCATCAATTAGTACACTATTTAATACACTAATTGGTGCATATAACATTACTCATAAAATTTTCACTTTTAGAAATCAAAAAAAAATTATCTCTAAAACTCTTATATGTTGTAGTGAGTATATTTTTTGAACAGAATAAAACTATATTGAAAAAAAAAATTCATTACAAATTAAAGATCGAAAACAAAATAAAAGAGGGTCCATCCCAATACACAAAACAAAAACTTTAAAATACTCAAGTTCACACTTTGTGCATACCTTCTTTCACTCCTTAAAAAAAATGAAAAATAAAAAATAAAAAATAAAAAACAAAACATTAGAACTCTATCTTTAGATCATCCTTCCTATGATATTCACATTCTTGCATTAACACCAACTTTTTCTTGACAAACTTGACACCCTTTCGAGCCAAAACTCTAATTCAAAAACCTGTAACCCTCCGAGCAAGAACACGAAAACCGAACCTTGAATTGCTAGCATCCCAAAAAAGCCCGATTTCATCTCCATCCCTCAACTCCCTTCTCCTCACGAACCAAGTCACCCAATTATCCACCAACACCAAGCTCTTACTCGTCCGCCATCTTTTAAACACCAATTCATATTCAGAACCAGTGTCGTAATCCCAAACCACGACCCTCTCACCGACCATGTCCTCAACTTGCTCCACCCTCTCTCCATCCCACACCGCGGTTATATGCTTGTCCACTCCCTCCGCAGGCAACAAGAGCCGACAAAGATGTTCATTCACATCGCTTGATGTTAGGGTTTTCTTGATCTTCCATGGATCCTCAAAGAGCTTGAGCTTCGTTGACACCCCCAAATCCATCTCTTCTCTGCAGTCCTCGGGAGTGTAGAACCGGAAGCTTCTGATTCTGTCTTCAATCCTCTTTCTTTCAAGTTCTTGTTTGATCATCAAGTAATTGTCAGTAAACCAAAATAAAGAAGGGTCCATCCCAATACACAAAACAAAAGCTAATATGCTCAAGTTCATGCTCTGTGCATACTTTCTTTCACTCTTAAAAAAATAAAAAACAAAAACAAAAAACAAAACATTAGAACTCTGTCTTTAGATCATACTTCCTATGATATTCACATTCTTGCATTAACACCAACTTTTTCTTGACAAACTTGACACCCTTTCGAGCCAAAACTCTAATTCAAAAACCTGCAACCCTCCGAGCAAGAACACGAAAACCGAACCTTGAATTGCTAGCATCCCAAAAAAGCCCGATTTCATCTCCATCCCTCAACTCCCTTCTCCTCACGAACCAAGTCACCCAATTATCCACCAGCACAAAGCTCTTACTTATCCGCCATCTTTTAAACACCAATTCATGTTCAGAACCAGTGTCGTAATCCCAAACCACGACCCTCTCACCGACCATGTCCTCAACTTGCTCCACCCTATCTCCACCCCACACCGCGGTTATATGCTTGTCCACTGCCTCCGCAGGCAACAAGAGCCGACAAAGATGTTCATTCACATCGCTTGATGTTAGGGTTTTCTTGATCTTCCATAGATCCTCAAAGAGCTTGAGCTTCGTTGACACCCCCAAATCCATCTCTTCTCTGCAGTCCTCGGGAGTGTAGAACTGGAAGCTTCTGATTCTGTCTTCAATCCTCTTTCTTTCAAGTTCTTGTTTGATCATCAAGTAATTGTCAGTTGTTTTCTTGGATGGCAAGAAAGCTTGAGAATGAGAACCCTCTTCTCTTTCAGAAATCTTCCTTTTCTTGATGATCGGAGACATCGTTAGTCGATACATACTCGGGTTCTTCATATCACATTTATCATCATTGATGCAAACAGAGAACCCAAAAACCGTAATTTCTTCCTTGTTTCTTTGATCTTCTTGTGGGATTTGGTTGTTGTTGTTAATGGGGTTTGAGGGATTCATGGTTGAAGTTGAAGCCACTAGCTCAGAAACCGGAGAATGAGTGCTCGAACGTGATGGGTTTGTTTCCATTGATGAATTTTGTAGAAGAGAGTGAAGGTTTTAGAAAGATGATAAAAAAATATGAATAGGGTTTATGGGGGTTGCTATGCTTGTGTACAAGCGTAGATAATGCAAAATATGCGGAATCAGATTCATAATAGGAAAGTGAGATCAAAAGGGTTTCCTAAATCTTATCCTTGTAAGATTGGGACATATGTTTTTGTTACAACTCACGCGTGTTCATAAATTATAAACTTTTTTTTTCTTGTTTACTTAATTTTGGGGTGCTTGTTATGTCTTTAAGTGAGGTTCAATTTGGGTCTACTAATAAAATTTGTACGGTTTATTTTATAAGATCTATTGAGATATGATTAACTAAATTTCATTAATCACATAATTAAATCACATTTATTTTAAAAATAATAAATTACAAATATACCTCTTAAATTTGCTTTAAATACTTGATATCATTAAAAAAAATTATTAATTAACTTAATGATTAATTAATGAAAGGAGTTATTTAATATGAAATTAGAAATTTTAAAGGGTGAGATGCAATATTCATAACCATAGAAGGCAATTAGTATTTTAAGTAAATTTTATGAGGTGTATTTATAATTTACTTTCTAAAAAATTAGACCACGAATGTGATATTGGATTTTGGGTGATTTTGATTATAGACTTTTTAATTTTTTTTAAAGCTAAATATGATTTGATTACTTAATTGTCAAGTTTTTTTATATGAATAATCTAGTTGATAAGTCGTATAAAATGAATAATTCAAATTATCTAAATGAACCTAGAGTGGGCTCTACAAAATATCATAATATGGACTGTTGTACGTTGGCCACTTTAGGCAACCCAACCCCACCTCACAAATAAGACTGCAAAAATGGCCCGCTGTGCATCCTAGGCCGAACCCAACCCCATACCATTGGTAGGGTTGGGCCTAGCGCAAAAAAAGTTATAAAGAATTATTTTTAACAACGATTTTATTAGTATTAATTTTCAATAAAATTTAATAAACATTAAGTCAAACTATTAGGACTTATTGATAATTTATCCTTAGAAGAATACTTCATCTCTCCCAAACTATTTGTCTACGCCATAGAAAAAAAAAACTAAAAATAATATGTTCTTATATTGGGAATTTTAAATTTTTTTTACTAATTAAAAGATCTTTTTAAGTACTTTAATCTGTTAAAAAATTAATTTTTTTAATACAAAGTATTTTATTTTTAAATTCTCATTTTTTATATTGAACAAACAATTTGAGACGGAACCATCTATTATTTTTATTTTTATTAGTCGTTTGAAATTGAGGACTCTTCCAAGATTTCTCTAATAAATCACTTTTCTTCCTCTCTCATTTTGTCTCCTGCGACTTTCTGTATTTTTCTCTCTTTTTTCCCTTAGGTTATATTTTGTCTCACCATCCCTCTACAAAACAAAACCGTCCTTTTTCTTTCTTTTTTTTTGAAGTCCTCCTTTGAAATTAAGATAGAATTTTGTTAAAAATGTAATTTTTTATTTTGTCTAATTTCTATTTTATTTATGTAGTCCAATGTTACTCTTGACTCTTCAAATATAACTAACCTTGAAGAATTTATTAAAATAACTATTATAATAACTAACTCATTAGAGTAACTAAAATATGATAATGCCATTAATAGTTATAATAGCTAACAGACTCTACACAATACTACTCTATAACCTTTCACTTTCTATGTCTCGTAATGGTATTTGCATTTGCTATCATCTTTGTTGCCAAATACATCGCTGCCAAGCACCTAAACCCAGGCCGCGTGCTCAACCCCGCTGGAGTAGTCTTTGGAATTACAGCTTTCTTTGTTGCCATCAATCTCTTTCCCTCTCTACCTCAAGGTCATGGGTACACATACAAAATGATCTTTATTTTTTTTTTTATAACCGGTGTATGAATCGACTTTTGCGGATCTCAAGTAACCTTAAAATCTTAAAACTAACAATCGGGTCATATTTACTATTCGGTCAACCTCTTGAGATTATCGTGATTTCTGTTTGACAAGTGAAGTTACAGTTCATTTGGCAACCTCCAAATTGAATTCAACTTTTTTGTGTTGAAATGTTTTAGGCTATGCTCAAATGCTCTACTCCAAGATTCAGATGGGTTTCATTTTCATATACAAATAGATCGAGTCTCAGTAAGAGTTCATAATTGAAATCTCGCGTTATCATCCACACATGTGATGGCTATTTGCTACTGTTCTTGAGAAGTGATTATAACATATTTTAATTTGAGAGATTATATATCAAATTGTTTGGTACAACTTCTATTTATAATATATTAGGTACAAAAATAGCTTAACTAAAAAAAAAATCATTATTTGAAAGTTAGGCGAGGAGTACTTTTAGTTTTTTACTTTCTGATTATCAGTTTTAATAAAACAGGACCAATATGTGACAGTTATAGAATTATTATTTATTTATTTTTGTCAATTAGTTAAATTGAATAGTCAACTATTTAATAAAGGGTTAATTTTACTTTCTATCCCTTAATTATTGTCAAATTATCTATTTAATGTAAACTATCGATTGAGGTTATTATGTCCCTAAATATATAAATCAAAGTTTACTCAATCCTTGAACTATCCATTAAATCTATTAAATTCTTAAAATATTTAATTAATGGAAAAAAAATATATAAGTCCATAAGTATTATAAATTAGTAAAAGACCCTACGTAATTAAGATTTTATTCTAAAATGATCTTAAAATTTTATTATGTTTACGTTTTTAGATAGAATTAACTCGAAAGTTTATTCAAGTAAATTTCCTTTATTAACATTATTCATTGCCAAATTATAGCAATAGCAACCCCAATATAGCAACAATCATTGGAGATGCTCTAAGTCTTATATTATTATTTTTTTAATAAAGTTATTCGCACGAATTGATATTAATTAGTATACTAATGAATGATGTATAATTTTAAAAAATTTAAATCTTTATAGTTTATATAATGGGTGAGACTTATAATTTTAAAATGACAATGTAATATAATAAATGTTGATATATTAATTAATATACCAATTATAACTTGGGGGGATTTTATGGCCAATTTTGGAAAATATGTTAAAAAAATATTTTTTTGACTTTTTATAAATAAAAAAAAATTAAATGTGCAAAAAGATAAAAAGATAATTTGACTTAAGAAGGCCTAAAAATTAATTAATTGACTTTTAACTAATTGCCAAAAGAGGCATATGTCTTCGTTTGGCATGAAATTACAATGTTAAAATAATCATAAAAAGATAAAATAAACTAAAAAATTAATAAAACAAAATGTCATATTCGAACTATAATTATTTTATTTTTTTTCTCATAAAAATTTAAAAAGTTAAAATACTCAACCCAAACAAGACTTTAATCCCAAATTAAAAAATCATAAACAACTATGATACGCAGCCCGAATTGTTCGAGCTCGAATTTGTCCCGAATCCAAAACGACGTCGTTTTGGAATTTTTTTTTTCTTTTCTTTTTTTTTTTCTTTTTTCTTCCTCACTGTTTTGAAGATCAAAATAAAGAACAAACAGAAGCAAAAGAAGAAGAAGAACATCATCAACAACATCTTCATCAACACATCATCAACTTGAAAGAAAAATAAAAAATTAAAAATCAACAACATCTTCATCAACACATTATCATCATCAACAACAACATTTTCATCAACATCATCATCATCAACACATCATCATCAGCCCAAAAATAAAATTAAAAAAAAAAAAAATTAGATCCGATTCAACTCCAGCTCCGATCACCGCCATCGCCATCGATCTTCCTCCTCCGCCATCACTGCCATCACAGTCTTCTTCTCTTCCTCCTCCTTCTCCCCATCTTTTCCCCTTCTTCTCTCTTCCTCTTCTCTTCTCTTCTCTTCTCTCTCTTGGCTCTGTGTCCGTGTTCAAAAACAAGAAAATGAAGAAAAAGAAAAAAAAAGCAAGAAAAGGAAAAAAAAGAAAAAAAAAATGAAACTCAA